TTTTTTTTTTTTTTTTTTTTTTTTTTTTGAGAAAGGATCTTACTAGTTCATGCTGGCCTCAAACTTCCAGCGATCCTCTTGCCTCTGCCTCCCCAGTGCTGGGATTACAGGTACGCACTGCCATACCGTGCTTATCCCTGCTTATCTTTTTAAAAAACACACAACAACAACAAATTCTGGGCTGGGGATTTAGCTCACTGGCACCATGCCTGACTGGCAAGCGCAAGGTAGTGAATTTGAGTCCTGGTACCAAAAAGCATAACAAAACAACAACAAAAAAATACAGTGGTACTGCCAGTTGCCTTGCAAGCACAAGGCCTCAAGTTCAATCCCTGGTACAAAACAAAAAACAACAACAAAAAAACCCAACTTCCTCTGAGCCCAGGCCTGGGGTAATCCTACTCAGGGCAGCACCTAGCAGGCCTGCCCAGCCGAAGGATCAGTGAAGTCACCAACTCTGAAACAGCAAGCAGCAAGCAGCCTCTCGAGGGACCTGAAGGGCTTGCTCAGACAGCACAGCAGTCAGGGCTGAGTACTGGAGCAACCCAGGCAGAAAACCTCAGGGAAGGAGGCCAACTGGGGACCCTCCCTCTGGAACAATGAATACCCCTGCCATTGTTTTGCCTTTAATGACATTTCTGAACACTAAACATGCAGACATCTGTTCCTTGATGTTTTGTCTTTGTTCATCTGTCATCCTCAGAATGAAAGTCCAGGACCTTCCGCACTAATTTTAAAGTCCGGCTGAACATTGAGTAATGAACAAAACTGAAAACACAAAAGTGAAAAGATGGCATTTTAAAATCTTGCTCAATTCCGCTCACTAATGAGAACATAACCCTCCTGTGATTGCAGCTTTTGCTTGTCGCCAGACCTTAGTTAAATCCTAACACCTGTCCCCTAACCATCCTCAGTTGTCCCGTACAGACACAGAAACGATTGCTTCTAGGACTATTCACAGGATGCATGTGGACAAGGCCAGCACAAAGCAAACCCCCAGGACTTGCGCCAGCCACACCACAGAAAGGCACACTTTAGTATTCAGGCAGAAAGAGACATGCAGAGAACAAACCTGTTTAAATTTCCCTCTAATTTTGTCCAAATCTTCATGGAGTTTATTGTAAGTAGGGTCATCATAGGGGAACTTCTGAATCATTCCAATCAATGATTCCAAGACCTTCATCTTCCTGCTGTAAAGCACAGAATACAGGCCTTCAGTCCTTTGCACACGAGCTCAGCTTCTGTAATAACCACAACGATCACGTAAAAGCAATGGGAGTGCTAAGAATGCCCCAGTTTGGAGCCTGAGGATTAATGTTCTCATTAAGCTAAATAATATTTATTTTCCTAGCAACAGAATGTTGACCACACCCAGAGCTTCACAGCAGAAAGTTCTAGGGGCACAGAGATGTTCCTTCCTCTGTGCCCGCCACGGAGGTGAGTGACTGAGGCCACCTGCATGGCTCTCAGTTACAGGCACCAAAACAGACAGAACCAGGTGAGAGAGTGAGCGGCTGGGACATGAACAAGCCTGCTCTGATCTGTGCACTCACAGCCTTTGGGGGTTCAGCTGCAGGTAACCTGGCCCCTCCCTGCAAGGGCAGCACCACTCCCTAGTGTTTGAGCCCAGTGCTCTTTGCCAGGAAGTCAAGAGCTTGTGGGGAGGCTGCAGAAAGGTGTCTGCTCAGGAGTCTGGTGGCCCTGGGCACATCTCCAGGACACTCAGTCATTTCACGTCTCTGAACCCCAATGTCCTCATCTGCAAAACTGGCAAGTTGTGACCTCACATGCTTTTCAAGGTACAAGTGACCTGGGGAGCATTCCTGCCCCAGTCCCTACCTGTCTGATGGCAAATCAAACATAACCTGAGTACTTTCTAAAAGGATGTTTTTAGACACAGAGGAGAAAATTTGTCATGTCAAACTGCGTTGTCAGATCTACTACCATGGCTTCCTCTCCCTGAAATTTGAAAGTAGAAATATTCAAAGCAAGTCAGTTAAAGCAACAAAATACCCAGCTCCTAGGAGACAGAAGGCAGATGCTAAGATGAAGGATGCATTCAGAGAGGCCACAAAAACTACCACCCACTGCCAACTTCACAGGTAGGCCTTCTTTCCTGCCCACTGAGGCACCCACAGATATACTCAGCCAGGCAGTCAGAGCCCACGTGTGCCCAGAGGTGGTAGTGCAGGCCTTGGCACTGCCAGTATCATGTGCAGACAGCACCACCACTGCTGAGGAGAGACCAGCAGCATGTCCAGTTTACGAAGAAGCTCCAGGACGTGGCTGAAAGTGCCACCTGTGCTTGGCGATAGCTCTCCATGTTTTCTTAGGTGCTTAAATACCCACTCCCTTAGGGCATATCATGCAGGCAGGTGTCTTCCCTTAACATCCTTATTTAGATAAATGGAAAAGTAGACCATTCTCTCTTCACCCTTCACCTTTAAAAAATAATCCTATTGGACAGGGGACATAGCTCAGTGGCAGAATGTATGCTTAGCATACGTGAGGTCCTGGGTTTGATTAAAAAACAAAAATTGTATTGATTTAGAAAATCCAAACATTTTTAAGATGGGAAGCTTTAAGTTCCAGATACCTCTGAGCCCTGGGGGGTGGGATGGTGGTGCAGGAAGTGGGCCAATTCAAAGTTGCTCTTTTTCTATCTACTTGACAGAGTGCGCTACTTGAAGACATGAGAAAATCCTTGCTCTGGGGCAGGGCTGGCCACTGTCTGCCCTGGCAAGGGAGCATTTGCATAAGCAGTGTGTGCCACAGACTTTGATAGTAGGGAAAAGGGGAGACAGCTAGAGCATTCCGGAGCAGTGCCCTTCAGGTTTCTGTCCTTTTTGGACCCAGTGAAGAGCCAAGCTCAGCTCTGACTGCCACCCGGTGGTAGCACAGACTGTCAACAACTAGTCTACCTCACCATCAGCTGTCCCTCCTGAAGGCTTAGGAAAGCCCTTTATAGTACCCAGGCTGTGGAAATGCAAAATATCTCAAATAAAAGGACAAATCACATGGACAGGGGATGCCACCTTCCCTGCCCCACTGGTCCAGGTGCCAGAGTGCTGCACAGGGCCAGCCTAGGTCCACCTTCTCCTGAGAGCAGCAGGGTGACCCGACTGTGTACACCTTCTAAAGGTTTGTGTCCAGTCTAAGAAAAAAGACCGGTGAGACAGGCTCCCATAGACAGGTCAGGCAGGTAGGCAGAATGATTCACAACTCAGAAAATAATTCAAATAGCAGCTAACATTTAGTTAGGCCTCCAAGTACTGGAAAACAAGTCACACACACTACAAGGCCTTCTGGCTGGCCAACGAAAAGCTGCTAACAATGGGGCCAGCACTTCTGAACCCTCGACATATACAGGCCACTGCAATATGTTCATCAGAAGCCCAGGGGAAGGATGAATGACAGAATCCACTTAGTACCACTTTACTGCCATAGTGTCTAAAAGCCAATCGGTGGTTTAGTAACTCCAGGGACAAGGCAGGGAAAACAAGAACTCCTATGAGAAGTAACAAAGACCAGTGTTCATCAGGTGCCCAAAATGTGCCTTTTAACTTTTCTAACAACATTCAAATTTGACAGTATTATTTCTTCGTTTTATAGATGAAGAAACTGAGATGGATTAATAACCAAGGTCACTGTGAGTAGCTATGAACCCAGAGCTCCTCCTGGCCCAAACACTGAGGAAGGAAGGGAGGGAAGGAGGGAGGGACAGCCAGCTGCCATGTCACCTGTCTTTCTCACTGGCACAACTGCGTAGGAGGCACTTCCACACGAGAGCAAAACCTTGATAGCACCCGATCTGCCAATTAAAAAATATTGAAGAGTAAAGTTAATAAGCAACCAGCTACACTTTCCAATGATCAAACTATCAAAATGCAAGGCACGAGTGGAAGCAGCTATACTTCTTTTCCATTATTGTTCTGGAAGGACCTGCTGAACTTCAGATAGTGGAAGTTGGGTGGTTAAGCCACCGAGATGGCCTCCATGATGCTTACCCTTGTTTTCATGCCCTGAGCAATCCCCTGGACTACTGCCAGGGTGGTTTGTATCACCAACAGAACCCAGAGAAAGGAGAGCTAACTTCTGAGGTCTCATTTAAAAGGCAAATGTCATTTCTGCTTGTTCTCCGGATCACTGCTCTTAAGTGTCAGGACAACTGAGCATACTGGGGAAAGGTCCATGCCCACTGTCACCTGAGTATGACACCTTGGGCCAGAACCTCTAGCCCCAGGCCTTCAGAGGCGACCATAAACCTGGCCTGACACCCTGGCTGCAGCCTCCTGAGACCCTGAGCCAGAACCCCTCAGCCAGGAGGCTCCTGAATTCCTTCCCCTCAAAAATGCTGCCAGAGAAACGGGTGTGTTTTAAGCCCCTGTTCTGTTTTATGGCATCAGATAGCTGATATTGTCCTGACTGTCTCACCTCAGGCTCTGCCATTTAGGGCCAGGTATCTATCTGTAAGACAGGGCCCATCTAGGGCAAAGGACTAGAAAAGTATGAACTTTATGGAATTTTTTGTTTGTTTTTCGAGACAGGGTTTTGGTATGAGTTCAGGCTGGCTTAGAACTCACTATGTAGCCCAGGCCAGCCTTGAACTCAATGCAACCTCCCTGCCTTGGCCTTTCAAGTAGAATTTCTATGTAAACACAGACACCCACTCTGTGGCTGAAGACACTAGAAAACACCATGACATTCCAATGTAAGCCGAAGTGCCCAAAGACTTGTTTTCTCATCCTCCAGCTTCATAAGTTAATTATCTCCATACAACAATGTATAGTCAGTTCTGTACTCAGAACACTTCTCCAGCAACATTCTGTCCAGTCTATTAACTCCAACACAGAGGCCTTGCAATGCTAAGAGGCCTGATGTTCTGAATCTCACTAAACATCAAAGTAAGCCATAAACTGCAAAGGAAGAGGGTTTGTTTCTAAATGAGGTTACAACATACCTCAGATCCAATTTTGGCTCCATGTAAGGTACCATATTGTCTTCCTTCAATCATACCCAAACTACTGCCTTCTTCATAGCCTTCCTGGTACCCTTCCCCATGGAACCTGTGGTGGAGAAGAAGCACACTCCATCAAACTGGAAAAAGAGAACTTTTTCTGGAAATAATTTCCTGTCTTACATTATCCAGACCCCATAGGCTAAAACAGAATAGAGTAGAAAAAGTCTAAAACGCAAGTCCAATGGTACATGTTCCGGTACTGGCTCTCCCCTGTTCTGAATGTCTCTTCTGGCTGTGAGGCTAGTTTTTTTCATCTACAGGAGGAAGGTGTGCTAAATTAGTGATTCTCCACACTGGTAAGGTACCAGAAATACACAGTGAAATTTTAAATATATAAACTCAAGAGCCTGATAGTCAAGAAGTCTGGAGTAAAGCCCAGGAATCTACTTTTCAAATCTCCTAGGTAACTCTGGTCTGTAGCCACAGTAGAGAGGGAGCCAAAGCTGAGTCTATAAGCAACATTAACTAGCACCAGTTGACTCCAATCTGCAGTATGTACAGGTCTTTTCATCACATCTCAGTAGAATACAGGGAGAAATGTCACTACATCATCACAAAACCAGATTATAATAAATGCACTGATTTTAGAGTTCAACAGTGGCACTGGTACTGCTTTAGCCGGCAGTCAGAAAGGTGTTTTAGAGCACCCCATGAGAGAGTGTACAGCTCCCCACTTATTAGTCTTACGGCCCTGGGGTGACTGTGCCCTCTCATCTGTAAAACAAACAGAACAAGATCCATTGCCTAAGCAGGTCTAAAACCGATAGGTGGAAAAGAATATTCAGTTGGGTTCTCCTTCAAGTCCCAAACAAAAGTAAAGAACAGAGTGTTTAATGCTCACTGGCTCTCTTAACTGACATCTACTGATGTCTCCTGTGGGCCGGGTCTGAAGACAGCCAAAAGGCCCAAACTCACAGCTCCGCCCCTTTGCAGCCCTGGTAGCTCCCCAGGGATGCCGCCTGACACATTGATCAACAGGTCCATGAATACTGCCGTATGCCTGGCAATTAAGAAACAAGAAAAAGTGGCAGCTCCCAGATGGCAAAGGCCTGTGCCACTAGAGGAGGGGGCGTTCCTGGAGGTATGAAGTCCTCGGACTGAGCAGATGCTGGAGGCGCCGGGTGACTGGAGAGGCGGGTCCCGAGCAGCTGGGCACGTGGCGGGTCGGGGCGTGCGAGAAGCAAGACAAAATCGATAGCATCGGCCCTACACTTGCTCTCAGGGCCACACAGCGCTCTCCCAACATACACGCTCGACAGACGCCACGCGCAAACGGGTACCCCACCCCGCACCCCATCAGCTGAGAAAACCAGACCTGGAACTTTCGGTGGCCCCGGCCCTCCTCGCCACCCACCTCTCATCCGCCATCACGATGGCGTCGAACATGTCCTGACTGTCGGCCATCCCCGCTACCCTTCGGGGTCCCAGCTCCCACAAAGTCAGAACAAACGTCTCGCTTCCAAAAAGGCAAAGACCACTTCCGGAAGCAGCCGCGCAGAGCCCGCCGGGAAAGGACGGCGTGCAAACGGGTCCAGAAAGAATCTAGGACGCATACTCAGCTGCGACCGTAGGCAGAGTTTGGTTCTGACAAAGCCCCGCCCATTGCCCGTTTCTCCTCCCCCTTTCCTCCGGCCCTGGGCCGGGTGGGTCGGAGCCGGGAGTGTCCGGTCATCGGAGTTCTGGGGTTGTAGACCTGGTTTTCAGTTTTTAAAAAGGCAGGCAGATGTGAGTGACTTGCTAGATATGGCACGGAAAGAAATTAGAAATGTTATCAAAGAACCGGCTCCTCAGGAGACTCCGTGCCCGAAAGCTTCGCCCGAGGGATTTGGGGGGAAGTCGAGGAAGGGCGACTCCGGGCTTCGGGGCGGAACGCAGAGGGGTCGCGCGATCCAACGGAGCCCGCAGCGGAATCCAGAGGGGTTCGGGCGCTGTGCAGGGCAGCGTATGGGTCCGTGTCCCCGCAGCCACCGCGGCAAGCGGGGGACGGGAAACCGGGCATGCGACGAAGGGCTGATTGGCACAGGTCCATCCGAAAAGGCAAATAATAAATAATAAATGTGGCCATTTGCTCTTGATATGATGAGTTCTTGTAAAATGAAATACAAAAGGTTGTTTGTGTGTGCCAGTTACCTTGTTTTTTTTTGGTCTTTTTTTTTTTTTTTTTTTTTTTTTTTTTTTTTT